CAATACATAATCCTAATAATATAGAAGCCCATAAAATCCAACATTATCTTATTAATAAATATAAAGGAACCTTTGATGTTTAGTTACCAATCCAGAAAAAATGAATGGATCACCAAAGATTTACATATGGGGCATGCTGCAACAAAACCAGACAAAGTGAACATTGGTATTACCAAGAATTTCAGGGATCAAAATTCAGCCATTTGTAATGTGATTATAATTAACAGCTTTATAATGTCCCATTTTCTATCTTGAGTGACATATAGAACTGACCCCATATAAAAATAATAAAAATTTGTTTAGAATTAAATAATATTTGTTGTTATTTTTTTTTTTTTTTTGTATATTAAAAAGGTGGTGGTGATTATCAACCTGTTGCTTGCTATTCTACTCAATTTATATAGATAAAAAATAGACATGACTTAGCTTTTTTGTTGTTATTAATACTTGTACATGAATACCTGATTATTCAATACATTTGATATCATCATTGACATAACAAACAATTGCATCACCCAGGTAGTAACAATACCAAGGCCATGCAAAAATGAAACTTTTAATAATGCCTGTCTACCCAGATCTCTGGGGTTCACAAAAATAAATTATGGTTCCTTATGAATAATAAATCTGATGTTGAATCACAGGTGTCAGATTTAATTGAAATTTTCCTATCACAAACATGAAGGACCGTGCAACTAAGCACAATTCAGCACTATGGAATGTTTTCCACAGGTGAAACAGTCCTAAACATGCTGGAAGACTTTGGACAAAACTTTCCCTATCTTCCCTCTCAGACCAGGCTTGGTAGTAACCATATAGGCATTGATCATTGATAGCTTGGTGCTTGTGTGATGATTGCTTTGTGTTATTCACCCTCTAGAATAAAGTTGGTGTTAAGACTGGCTTCAAAATTTTCCGACTCAGGAGGTTGCAACCTGGGTTGCTGTTTTGGATTTTCCCTGAATTCAGGCGCACCTACTCACCAACAACCCTACCCCCACTTAAATAACAAGTTCAGTTTGTCAAATAAAATTTAGAGAAATAGAGAATTTGGGAAAATGATTGATTAACTTATATATAACATACCGAACAAAATCTGAACTACTTATTTTACAGCTCTCTCCTTGATGCTAGTGATCATGATGGCTATCACAATAGGAGTAGAAAGAATCGAATTGCCACCTATATACTTGTAAAGTACATGCGCCCATTGAGCTACACTCCACTATCCTAGAATAGGAGGTTATATGGGCAAAAGCCCCCATTTTAAAAAACAACAAATTCGGTTGGTCAGATAAAAATTAAAGAGAGGCAGAAAATTATTAATTTATAACATACCAAACAAAATCAACCCCATTTTATTTTACAACTTTCCTCTTAACATCAGAGCCCAAATGCAATTTCAGGGTCACCAATCCTGCTCTGAATTGCAACCTCCTGGTGCTTGAAACAAGTTGCAGATTCTCATTGCTTTGATGGATCTGGATATTTACATGGCACTACAATTCATCAACAGAGTTGCAACTTGGTCACAGAGCCATCCTTGCCCTAGAGGTGGGATCATTGCAGGCAACTTTTTGGCCAACGTGCCAGCAGCCTTCTCTGGTCTGGTGCTGTAAAGGAAGATTAGTGAAAGTGTCATTGCAGTTTTAGTGTAGCTCCAGGGCAGAGCGACCCCCCTGGAATTCTGTTGCATCATCATATCATCAGGCATCACAAGTCAGATTAGCCTTGTGTACATGAGGAACATGTGTGAATGACCATAAAGTGTTCAAGGTAGCATGCATGCTTCAACATCTCTAAAAATTTCTGATAAACAAACATTGCATATCAAATTGTTTCTTTTTAAATGGTATATTGCCTTGACATCTTGTAATTATAATAATATAATAATATAGTATTATTATTATTGATTACGCAAAGCAAAATATTATCAATGAAATCTTGTAATTACCCACTCCATGTTTTGATTTCCAATTAAAATATTTATAAGCTAAAATAAAAGACACCTCATACATATCAATACAAATAAAAAGTAGTACCTCTGGTTAGTTATTAACATGTTTCTTTAGGAGACCAAAGCCAAACCAAACAACAACACTCACATTTTGTCACCTTGGATACTATCAAAAAATAAATTGTTTTTTGTTTTTCCAAAAAAAAAAAAAATCAATCAATTCGCATCTGTCCTACCAAAAAAAAAACCAATAGGATAAATAATTAATGTGTACATGTTGATCAAATCACAAACTTCTTTTATTTTTGTAAAAATGCCAAAAGATGCAAAAGCAAGAAGTGGAAGAAATTGAGAAAATGATAAGTGTTTTAAAAATAAGGATGGTGGTGGTGGTTATTGCCCACCACTCATCATTACTCTAGTTATTAAAAAATAATGGTATTAATAAAACATTCCCTATCACATTAATTTCCATACTTGAAGAAATAGATACTAATACACTCAATCTGTAAGTAAATTACATTCTCTTCAAATATCAAACTAATTATTTTATTTAATGAAACTTTGACTTTTTTTTTCCCATGACATGAAAAATTAGGAAGAAATCATAGAAAATATCATAAACCAATTAAGCATATATCAACGAGTATTGCAAAAGAGGCACTTGGTAATGAAAATATATTAGAAAATTTAAAAAACATCATAATCAAAGCATCAAAGATTATAGACGATTATGTCAAAGTAAGATCTGACAAGTTTTCTACTTATATGTTCCTTTTTTTTATTTGTTTTGATTTTTGTAAATTTATATTCTTTATTTTGTACAATAAAAGGATAATTATAGTGATGACAATTTGGAAGTTGTCAATAATTTGGAAGAAAATACTGAAGCTTTAGATCAAAATAAGTAATTATTATATATTTTTATTATAATTAATAATATAGGCTTATACTTTTTTTTTTTTTTAGTAGTAGTAACAACTGTACAACCTCAGCAGCAAACTTTGCAACCTCAACAACTTCAACAGGAGTTGCAATAGCAAGCTTTACAACCTCAGCAGCAAACTTTGCAACCCCAACAACTTCAACAGAAAACTGTACAACATCAACAGCAAACTTTGCAACCTCAACAAATAATCTTGAAGTTGAATCAACTTCTTCAACTTCTACTGATAATTATTCTAACTGAAAAGAAAAGTAGTAACAACACCATATTCACGTCATAATCTTCGTAATATGGTGCGAATCATCTAAAGACATCACGTGCTGCGCCACTTACCGAAAATTTTTATGCTGATCTTGCTTTATAAAG